TATCACATTGCTCTTTTCCTACGTGAACTAATCAGCTAATCCTTTCTGGATTTTTTCTTTTTAGTTTTCACTTCTAAAGCTAATACCACTTTGGCTGGAGCATCAAAAATGTAGCACAAAAATTTGTAGTTCAGAAGCTTCTTCTTCTTTTTTTTTTTTTTTTTCTTTTTTTAATGGCCAAAAAAATGTGGGTCTCTTTCAGAAGGCTGTGCATAATTTTCTGTTATTTGAATGGATTCATACAATTTCACTACTTGGGTCTTCTTGCGTATTATCCCAAGCAAGGCTGATTGATTCATGTTGCCAATTGCATTAATTCAATAATAGCTCTTTTGAGTTCATTAGATGGTCATATTTAACTCTATAAATTTCTGCTCATGGAAAATCACATTTCTTATCTCTGATGAGTTAATATAATTTTGTAATTTCTTCTATATTTATGATTGTTGAATTTGGCAACATCCCTAAATTCTATTCCCTCTTTTCCCCTTCATATTTGTTGGCTCTCATTCATTGGCTTATGTCAGATTTGATTAACACCTCCACTCATACATTTCAATGTGTCATTGTTCTTTCTTCAATTGTACGTAACAATAATACTTTTGAAGCACATTTTCTCAACCAGAAGTCAGATTATTAGATTTTAAGATCAACTACTTTAGCTCACATTTTGCTTTTTTTTGCAGGTGTAACCTTGTGGATTTAATGGTGGAAATGGATCGCATGTTGCGTCCAGAGGGAACAGTTGTGATACGTGATTCTCCCGAAGTAATTGAAAAAGTGGAACACATTGCTCATGCAGTCAGGTGGACAACTAGCTTATATGAAAAGGAGCCTGAATCACATGGGAGAGAGAAAATCCTTGTTGCGACCAAAACTTTCTGGAAGTTACCTTCATCTTCCCATTGAGAGCCATTTTTCTTTAAAATGTAGGTATTCTTTTCCTATCTTTTCCTTTTTCACTCTATTAAAGCCAAGATGTTTTCTCCATGCATCAAATGGAAGCAATCTCAATTCTTGGTCCTGAGTTGATTTATTTATAACTAGAAACAATAGGAGTAGAAAGTGGAAGAAGGCATGAGATATTAAGAATGAAAATTTCAATTTTGACTTTTATGTGTAGAATACACATAAAAGTTTCAATGAAATTAACTGTTAGTATGATCATAACTCACTGACATTCATCATCGCTTATTTCATGCCATCTTGCATTACTCTTGTCATTGTGATCCACCAATCTTGTTATACATTCTCTGGTATTTATTGACACTATCATCTTACCTAGAGTAATCCTCAATCATTTGATCTTCCCAGTAAAACTGTCTGTGCTTATTTGTTTCATTGTATCCTTTAAGACTGTAAAACTAAAACATCTGTAAGGGTGCCTGGATTTCACATTAGACGACGCACTTGGACCTGGTAGCCCTTGAACAGGAATGATAACCAAGGCAAATAGATCCATCTCCCCTTCCTAGTTCCCACTTCCCACCATATTCAATAGCATTTACCTTGAAAGTGCGTTTTCGTTTTGTCCAACTTTCCTTCAGTACATGGCTTATTTATTGTCATTAATATTACAGAGGCGTAAGATTGGCGTTGGTTACCATTGTTGACAAGTTCTTTACAAATACCCATCAAAATCGTGCGTCCCTTGTCTTTGGTCCCCCTTTCGGACTCAAATGTTTTCTACCACTCTACGAGACAGCTAATTTCTTGGTCCACCATGGTTCTGTTTTTAACTTAGTCGAGACGACATGACTTATGAATTAAACTCATGCAAATGTTTGTAAAATTCAACCTTTTGTAACATTCAACCTTTCTTGTAGATTGTTCATGCAAGTTGTGATTGAAAGTGCCATGTAATGTTGGTTGAAAAAATTTCCAATCCCCAATATTCACATCCACAGGTTAAAACAGAGGAAGTAAGAAAAATTAATGGAGGAGACTAAAACAAATCCTTTGAAGGTCGAAATCGATGCCTTCTAAGAATCGTAAATCAAGTCCATACCACTATCATCAGAATAATAATGACTACCAAACTCTTTGAATAGATACCGTCCTAGTACTGCCTTTAATTGCTATCTTAACTACTTCCTTTCATCTCTGAAGTCAGTTTGGTGCATTAACTTGGACTAGTAAATATTCATGTCGACTCTCAGCTGCCCTGGCCATAACTCCACAGACAACTAAGCTCGGAAATTCAACCTCCGAAGGCACATGAAAATGGAGGCAACAGGTTATTAATAAGTGCAGGCATAGGCTGTAACCATTTCTTCGTTTCCAGATTCATCTAAACATCAAACACCACTCTTTTTTCTCTGTACAGCACAAGTATTAGGCTTGCCCCCCCCCCCCCCACCCCCCAAACCTATATATTTTCTCCTTTCAAACCAACCAAGCGGTCAAGAAGATGGTAGGCTGACGTTTATCTAATTGATTTTTAGAGACATGAATTTGGTTTTCATGTAGAGACTCAGAAACAAGTGTGCGGGCATTAATGCTGTTGAACTACATACGCATCTCATAACCGTTCGACAATATGTCTCAATAAATTGCCCTGTATCCTGAGAGGGACAGCAAAGTGATCAGGGTAGGGATTCAAACTCACCGAGTTAAACCAAGTTTTTACAAGTTCAGAACTTAGGTTGAAGAAATTAGTGCATGATCAAGTTTGAGATGGAGCTCCTAAATGGCCTCGTTTTAAATTTTTTTTAGTATTTGATATCAGATTCAAACATTGATGATGTATTAGATAATACTTATATAATACTTGCAAGCTTTCAAGCTGATGACATCAAAACTTAAAAATTAAACAGGCCTCGAGGTTTCGTATGAAAGGGAGGCCGTAGAGTGGAAAACGGGAGTAGCATTAATGCAACGGCAATGGCGTAAGGTGAGCTGGTGGGCCTCGCCCTAACAGTGGAAACTGCATAAAAGGCATAGTGGTCCACGAACCAATTCACATTTGCATGCCTGGAATTCGTCTTTGAATGGACAAGAAAATTTAAGGTACAATAGGGTTCGGTTCACACTACAACGCTATTGATGAAGGCGAAAGGCCATGGTCATGTTGTGGTTCGTGGTTGTGGGTCTTTAATTCAATGGTAACACACCACCACCACCACCACCTTACCCACCTCAATTCTTCACTGCTCTCAAACCCATAGCAAACTCTGATTCCTTGTTT